AAAATTTTGGATCTACACATGTACATGCATACATGTATGTACTACACAACTTACTACAAAACATGTACATCAAGTTTAATATGTACATGTACAACTCCCTCTCTCTCTCTCTCTCCCTCTCTCTCTCTCTCTCTCTCTCTCTCTCTCTCTCTCTCTCTCTCTCTCTCTCTCTCTCTCTCTCTCTCTCTCTCTTACTTGCTATATCCAGTTTATGTTCAGTATCTTCTTGAGTATTTTCAAATTGCTGCAGCTGCTGAGCTGAAGGGGTAGAGGGAGAGAGAGAGGTCCTTGTGTTGTTATTGATGTCTTCATAATTTCCGGAGTAGTAGCGAACATCTCTGTCTCTATCTTCTTTTAGTTTTGATATGATTGAACTGATGTCTTGAGAAAAGGATTGATTGGCAGAGATAAATTCTATGAGAGAGAGAGAGGGGAGAACTACCTGACACAGAATTAAAACAGACAATTACACATGTACACTTGAACTGAGTCTGATTAAAATTGAATATTTAAAGTTACTCAAAAATGGGTTAAAGTCCCTGTACTATAGTACAGGGTAATGGCCAAATTTCACCAAAATTGAAAATTAAGGAGAGATTTCGCCGGTTTTATAATATTTCCTGATGCATATACATGTTCTTATGTTGCGTAGAAAATTTGAGCTGATTCCGATCAAATTTGGATTTTTTATGAATTTTTAAAGTTACTCCAAAATTGCGTTAAAGTCCTAGTACAGGGTCACGGGCCAAATTTCGCCAAAAATGAAAAAGAGACATTTTTCTACTTTTATAATTTTTCCTGATACATATACATGTTCTTATGTTGCGTAGAAAGTTTGAGTTGATTCCGACTAAAAATGGATTTTTTATGAATTTTTAAAGTTACAAAAAAAATCAAGAAAAAAATTCAAAATTCCCCAGAAACTTAAAAGGAGCTTCATATACCCACACTATACTACAATTATACACACATACACTACCATACTACACTAATGACATATACTCCAATACTAACGTGTATTGTCTAGTGTAGAGTAGAGGGTCCTAGCTACAGCTAGTCTGACATTAGGTACCACATCATTTGATAGTGTCAGTAATGAGGGGAGGCACTCACTACCAAATAAGGAATAGGATATCAGTCTTTTATGAAAGAACAGCTCACACTGCTTCACATACCTAAATATAATAAATAAATAAATTAATGAATAAATAAATGAATAAATAAATAATTAAATGAATAAATAAATGAAGTATTATTATTATTATTAATATTAATAAAAATAGAGTTTTACTAATATATAATCACCATTCTATGGTTGGAAAATCAGCAATATACACTTGCTACTCCACCCCCCCCCAAATACACTCATAATATGTACCTTTATATTAACAATAGCATAAGTACATGTGCTTTATATTGTGCTCATAACACATTGTTTGTTAGTTTATTTAATGTACAGTAGGTGGGGCATAGGAATATCTACTGATGATGGACCCACGATGCTATCATACAATAAATGAGCTATTTAAGGCAACCCAATGAACTGGGAAAGGTTATAGGTCTTCAAATTCATCTTTTGTAGACTCGTCAAAATTTTTGGAAGGACTGCATTCGTGTGGTCCCAATATTTAAAAATTAACATACATACAACTACACATACAAGGGTTCTGGTTCACATACAAATTCTAAAAGTGGGTGGAGGGGCTCATTTCGGAAACCATGCATGCATAACTTTGAT